AGCGAAGGGCAGGGACCTCCCTGGGAGCCCCCGGGACCCCCCAGCTGCTCCCCCAGCCCCAGCACGGGGCAGAGGTGGGCAGTCCCCACGCGATGGCTGCGCCTCCCTCGGGAGGCCTGGACACTGCAAACTGCCACGTACCTTCTTCTCCTGGCAGTCAGGGGACTCGGGGATGAAGCTGATGTTGATCTCCTCCACGTCGGAGCTGCTGGAGCCGGCGGAGGTGACGCTCACCGAGTCGGTGGCGTCCCCACTGCACAGGTACTGCCCACACTTAAGCTGGTCGAAGGATTTCGAGTGGGAGCTGCCGCTGGCGCAGGGCTCGGAGCTTGGGGGCTGCCGACTGCCAGGAGAGATGTGGGCAGTGAGCAGGGCGAGGACAACACCTGGCAGGACAACAGCCACCCCTGCCCAGTCCCCTGCAATGCTCCACCCCACATCCCACCCGGGAGGAGCAGACTCACTCGCTCCATCTCTTGATGATGCCTGTGTTCTTCTTTGCCTTCAACGTGTTGCTGGCTGACTCCGACAGCGGCTCGATCTCACACGACAGCCCATAGCTGGGAGGGGAGAGGAGAGGGTTTGAGCTCTCTGTGCTGCCAGGAGCATTGTGCCAGGAGGGTGAGGGAGGCACAGCCAGAGGAAGTGAGAGGTGGGACCTTCTGATTGACCAGCACAGCCCCAGGCCCCACTCACACTCACCTCTCAGCCTCACTGAGCCTCTCCAGGCTGTGGAACCACTCCACAAACTGATCCTCCTGTGTGAAGCTGTAGTTGTTGCAGGCTGACTGAAGCAGCTTGATCTGCGCGATGACTTCAAACTCCTGCAGCAAATGGAAGCCATGAGACCACATCTGTTTGCCAGCCCCAGTCTCCTTCACAAACAGCCCAACCCCACGCACAGAGGCAGGTATGAAGGGCCAGAATCCCCTCCCAAAAAAAACCATGACAGTAAAAAAGGAGGATCAACCCCAAAGTGATTAGGACAGCCCAGGCTTTCACCAGGTCAACCTCCTCCTTCCCCCAATGCTGTGTAGCTGCTAGGGCAAAGCTCTCACCTTCCTTCTCTTCTCAAAGTTGATCAGCCCACCCTGGAAAAGAAGGAGGTGAAGATCAGCATTGAGTGGACAGAAAAATATTGCTCCAATCCCACCCTGTCCCCAGCTCACTGCAGGTGTCCCTGCCGAGAAAAAGGCCTATTTCCATGGGCTTAGAGAGGTGGATGTGCTGTGTCGGGTACAGGGATGCAGTGTGGGATACAGGATGCAGTGTGGGGTACAGGGATGCAGTGTGGGGTACGGGATGCAGTGTGGGGGACAGGGATGCAGTGTGGGGTACGGGATGCAGTGTGGGGTACGGGATGCAGTGTGGGATACAGGATGCAGTGTGGGATACAGGGATGCAGTGTGGGATAAAGGGATGCAGTGTGGGGTACAGGGATGCAGTGTGGGGTACAGGATGCAGTGTGGGGTACAGGGATACAGTGTGGGGTACGGGATGCAGTGTGGGGTACAGGATGCACAGGGTGCAGTGTCAGATACAGGACACACGGGGGACCAAGCCCTCCTTGTATCAGCTCAGCCTTCGGGAGGAAGGGGAGGATAGGGAGGAGGTACATACATCCAGGAAATCCTTCATGGCAGTGTCGAGCATCACCAGGTCCGTGAGGAAGGTGCCGAGGTAGGGAATGGTGCCCTGCATCACGCCCTGTGGGGACAGAAGGGACAGCAGGGTCAGCAGAGAGCTGGGACCAGCCTGGGCAGCCACCAGGGAGGGGCACAGGGACGGCCCTGCCAGACTCACCATCTCTCGCTGCTGCTGCTGCCGCTTCTGAGCCCTCTTTGGATTGATCTCCAAGGTGGCAAATTTGGATGTGCCCTCCTGGATGGTGGGGAGAGGTGAGGATCAGTGGGGATTGACACAGGTGGGAAATTGCACTAGTATCTATTAGCTAAAATTCAGACTTGTTTTTATGGGTACAACTCTCCTTGTAGAGGGAATGAGGGCTAAGGAGGAGGAAAACAAAGCTTTTTTCATGGCTCACAGGGAGGAGAGGCTAAGTGAACAGGAACTGCTGCTCTCATTTCCAGCTCTGTATAAATGTCTCCTGAATGGGATGTTTTGTTCCCTTTTGCATTTTGTGTCCTCTCAGCCCCCGAATCAGAGCTAGGCTGGGAGCTGTGGAGAGGCTCCATGTGGAAGAAGGACATTTTTGCTGCAGCCTTCTACCAACACACTGCCCCACTTGGAATCAAGAGGACTTTGCACAGGGCTGTTAGAATGCAGCTGCCTCTGGGGAGAAGCTGTCACCTGGTGCTCTGGATCTCATCCCACTGCTTATCTCTGTTTGCTGAATTGCTCTGCCAGATTCAGGCAGTGAGTTTTGGGCAGAGAAGCAGAAAGCCCAGCCTGGTCTGAAATCCCTGCCTGCTCCCCAGGCTCAGCATCCCCTGCCTGCACCCATGTCTGTGACTCCACCAACACTGCCAGGGCTTTATTCTTGTGGCTGAAACACCTGGAAACTTTTGTCAGCATCAGCCTCAGCTCCTTGCCAGGAACAGGACAACACAGGTACCACTTGCCCCTACCTTAATGAGCAGCTCCCGACTCAGTGAGTGGTTGTTCTCATCGGAGAAGATCTCTGAGAGCTCATGGAATGTGCGGAAGCTCTCCCTGCTCAGGGGGAAACAAGGGGAAAAGTCAGCAGTGCTCCCACAGTGGGGTTTCACACTTCTGCTCACCCAGATGACCCCAGTTATGCTCACGGCTCTTGCTGTTTGGGAGCTAATCCAGGGTAGTTCACATGGAAGGGAGGTGATGATGCTTTTATTTCCACACCCTCCTTAGGAACCTGACACCTTACACTGGTCCCTGATTTTTGGGCACACTCCAAAAGGCAATGCTGGAGCTGAGATAATCCCATCTACACATTCAAGGGCTACAGCATGACCTTCCCCTTGGAACCTCCCAGCACCCACAGGAGCCCAGCAGGAGCTGCTCACCTCAGGACCTCATCCCAGGTCTTCTTCAGCCGGTGAACAGCATTGCACTGCAGAGCTGAGAGGATGGCTCGGAGGGAGGAGAAGTTCTTCAGGATACGACATTCCTGGGGACAGACAAGGAGATGAGAGGGACTCAGCATTAAAAAAAAAGCTCAAGGATCTGCTGAGATACAGGAATGGCAAAACCTCAGTCCTTAGGCAGAGGCAGGAGGTGAGTGGGATGGTGAGCTGTCCTACCCGAGCCACCTCGATCCATCTCTCCACCACTTTGGCTCTCTGCTGTGGCTTCAGGGACCTGTCCCCGAGACACGTGGCGATGACACAGTTGGCCACACTGTTGAACTGTGAGACTGTGGCACGGATGGTGGGTGCCAGGTGCTCTTTGCCCTTCTTGTCTCGCTGGGACCAGATGCAGCCCAGGCAGTGGTAAGGCACCACTTTCTTAAACAGCTCCTGGAAGACAAAGGGATGGAGATGGGTCTTTGGGTTCCCTGGGTTCATCCCTTCCCTGGGAAGTGGCCTGTGCCCAGAGCAGCAGGGAACAGGCAGGCAGAGCAGCATCGACCTGGCTGTCAAGTGAATACTCACAGCATCCATCAGCGTGAACTGCTCTGCCACCATCTCTGGGGAGAAGGAGAGGAAATCTGGCTTCCCGTCCCCGACTCCGTTCTCCTCCACCAGCTGGAAGGTGCAGCTGCCATGGTCCACAGCTGCAGGAGACAGGGTGGAGCTGAGCACTGCAATGCTGCTGTGAGACAGGGCCCATGCCAACCCACTCGGTCCCACCTTCCCAGCTCTTAATTCCCATCTGGCTTCACACCTCGAGAAACGAGGCTCAGATAAAAGGATAGTCATTCTAAACCTGGGTGCAAGTGTCTACAGAGGATTAAAGGCAGATTAGCTAATCCATTTAGAAATCCCACTTCAGGTGCAGCTGGATTAGCTTCCCAGTGTACCTCCATGTAAACAAAGGTAGGGTTTATGGGCATTCAGCCATGTGGCAAGACCTAAAGTTTTGGAGACCTCCACCTGCAGCCCCAAATGACCCCTGGAAGCAGGGAAAGGATCCCACCTTCTGCCTCAGACTCGCTCTGCTCCTGCTGCTGGAACTGGGCCAGCAGGATGCGGGCTCGGCGCTCCAGGTCAGAGCCAGGGATGTTGTGGCGCACGTAGGAGATGAGCTGCTTGAGGCAGGAGAAGTCTGGGGGCTTGCGGAAGTCCTCTGAGTACTGGTCCAGCCAGGCCCCCAGGATGGAGGAGATGGTGCTGCAGGGAGGGGGAAAACACAGCAAAGCTGCATCAGAATTGTGTGCCAGGAGAAACTCATGTGCACCCCTGTGAGCCCCAGGCACCAGGAATGTCTCTAGACAACACATCCCTTTGTAAGAGAAGCAAAGAGCTATCACCAGAGCCACCCACAGCACAGTCAGACTTACTTCTTCAGCTCCATCCTCTCATCCACAACGTGCCTGGCATGGTCCCCATTTGCCTGGACGTGGAGTTTGCCATACCTGGTAGGGCACAGAGAGGAGATAATGAGCATCCTGGACTCAGCTGCTTCTCAGAACTGCCTTCTCCCTCCACATCACCCCCACCTCTGCCAGGGGGTTGGATGAACCTGCTATGCAGTGTCCTGCTCCCCCCACTCTGCCACAGCCCCCACATTACGGGAAGAGGGAAGCAGCCAGCACTGGCTACCTCACAGTGGGGTATCAGCTGGAAGAGCTCCAGCTCTCTGAGAAGTTGTGTTCTTCCTCCCTGCTGATGGAGTTGGGAGAAGCCATCAGCCCTCCAAGACACAGCAGAAGGTGCTGGGGCTCTCTTGGCCAAGGGGCTCAGACACTGGCCACCCCCAGGTGTGTTTTGGGGCTCAGGGCAGCCTCACCTGTTAAGCAGCAGGTCCAGCACTTGCTTGGTGGTGGCGAAGGCTCGGTAAGTGCACAGGAAGATGGTGACATAGGTGGAATCATTGCCCTTGAAGGCTGAGACCAGGTACTCCACCAGCTTTTCCAAGGTCCCAGCTTTTATCGTCCGCACCTTACACGTCTCGTAGAGGTTTAAGGCTGACTCATTCTCAAACTGCCAGGACAGGAGCAGGAGTCAGTGGGATGGGTGAAGACAGATATGTTCAAGTGCAAAACAGTCCCACAAGCTTCACAAATTACTGTTTGGATCTAGGCTTGAGACCATGGACCCCTACAGTGCCTGGGGCTCTCCTAACTGGGAAAGGGAAGCTGGGTCTCCTCAGACACCAAACCCTGCTGGGAAGACTTGAGCACTTGGAAAATCCCAGGAAAGGCCTAGAGGTTGCCAAAATCTAGATGCACATCAAAGTTGCCCTATTTTGCAAAATGGGTCTACAACTCGTTTCCCCTGTGCCCCTTCCCATGGGGCAGAGGCCAGCAGGTGCTCCCACCCCTCACTCCCAAATCAGTACATGATTCCCACAGCAGGGAAACCTCTGAAATGCCTCGTGGCTGGTGGAGCTTACCCCCAGCCATCGCTGTCCTTTGTTGGCTGTGTGATGGAGCTGTACTTTCCGGAGCGATATGCTGTAGATCACACCATCCTCCAGCTCTTCTCCAATCTCCTGTGTGGAGCTCTGCATGGAAAGACAAGATATACCATGAGATAAGGAGAGCAAAGCATGGCAGAGATGTTCCTGCAGCTCATACGAGGCAACCCAACAAGCCAAAGGCAACAGCAGGCAAGCAGAGAGAGTCTCCCTCGCCTGCTCAGAAATGCAAACCAGGCGACACCAGTCTGTCTGGCCAGCTCAACTCTGGGCCCACCTGAGCCTGCCCACAGGACTTTGGGAAGCTGCTCTTGGTCTGCTCCTTGACCTCTGGCTCCACATCTCAGCCCTTCTGCAAATCCAGGCTGTGCCAGCGGCCGGTGCTGGGCAGAGCAGGAACCCCTCACTGGGCAGTGATGGGGACAGTCACAGCACACCCCAGTGCCCAGCCCTGGCTGCTTCCCCCTCCCCAAGCCTCTGCCTTTCCCATAAGGTGACACTGCTGCCTGGTCTGACTGTAATCTCAGTTATCTGTCCCTGAGCACCTCAGTGCACTTCCCTAATAAATAATAACTGTCAAACCAAACCTCCTGCCAGCTTCGGCAGCACTGGCCACAACCCGAGGCAGAAATCCAAGGAGGAGCTCAAAGATGGAGAGAAACCACTAGGGTGGGCTCAGGCACAGCCAGGACAGGTCTGGGCACAGGGGACAGGCTCTGGGGGATGGAGACCACCTAAAATTTGGTGAGGTAAGGGGTGATGCTTCTCAGGGCATTTCCCCAGGCACACACCTCCCCCAGCACCACATGCCAGCACAGGGCTCAGCAGCAGCTCCAGCCCCACAAGGACAATTT